ATGTACTATTAGGTTGTTATACAGAAAAATTAAGAAAATTTTTAAAAAATGTACTTTGGCGGCGATAGATGAGCAATAACATGCTTCAGCTGGTAAGAATATGTGGCAAGTTCGAATAGCTAGCCGACACCAAAGGAAATAGAAAACTAATACGAGGGAAGTCTGTGCCATTCTGTAGCACCACTAGTTTTTTCGGGCAGCTGCAAATGGTAAATGAACTTTTTATGTTAAAATTGCCCCAAAATTAAAATAACAGTTTCAAATTCAAGGGGCCGCGACATCAGCCAGATCGATTGGGAAATATCAGTTTTCGAGAAAATCGGATGAACGGTTTAGCCGCTAGCGTTGTTCACAGACAGACGGACGTTTTGGCGTCAATCGATTTTTCGGTATCGAGGTTCCCACAAAACATGGATTCTGGCTACACCGCGTGTTAGGGGATTTTTTTTCTAAATTTAGGAACTTTTTCGTTACCAGGGCCATGTAATAAGAGTTTTCTACCGCAAATTTGCCGTTTATTCGTGCAGCAATACATAACTTTCTCTCTATTGCGTTAGGAGTAGCGAGAAAATAAACAGAAGCAATATAATGAAATTCTACTTCTGAATGAAATAAAATAATGTATTTACGGTAAATTACAGATGACAATATTTTAGACACTTGCAGTACTATTAATTGGAGATTTGGTTTCGCCTCTGACCATTTCATTTGAAGACGACTTGCCATATCTTTCCGGCGTCCGTCCACCCCAGGTAGGCCGTCCTCTGTAGCGTTCGTGGCTGCTTCAGAAGTCACCGGCGTCGGGCAGGGACGAGCGTGGGCGGGACGGGGCGGGACGAGGCTGGCGGGGCGAGGCTGAGAGAGCGGGGAAGGTGGGGCGAGGTGGAGGAAGAGGGGTGGCGTGGCAAGGCGGGGTGAGGCGAGATGCGACGCGCGAAAGGAGGAGGCGGAGGCGAAACTAGAAGGGATGGGGCGAGGTGGCGTGGGTGGGGTGGGGTGAGGTGGCGCCGGCAGGGAGAAGCGGGGTTGCCGGATGAGAGCGGGGGGCGGGGACGGGGGCGGGGGCGGACCACACACGCGTCGCTTAATGCCTAGGCACGTCCAGCGACGGCCTCGACGCAGGGCGGCACCTGAAGGCGTGCGCGCTATTCCAACCTTCAGATCAACAGAAACGGTCCGTCAACAGCACGTCTAAGCCTTCACCCGCACCCCCGTGGCTTCATCCCCCGCGTCACGTCGCCCGCAGCAGCGCTCTTGGTCGTCACATCAGAATAAGAGTCAACGTTTAATGGTGCGTAACTACGTTCAGAACGTCAGCCACTCGTCGAGATTAAAAAAATAAAATAAAAAAAAACAACAAACAACTGTTAAGACTTTTTTTTTTAATTAACCGGCTGATCGATCCTTCCTTCATTATCCTTGTGCCTCGACCAATAGTGGTAGTGTATGGAAACAAGTCGAGATACTTAAGATGAACCGACTGGGAAGTGATGCCATGAACTTTAATTCAGGACAGTGTGACATTATTACAGAACAGAAGGAATGGCGGAACTGAGCTTGTCTTACGGGACTAAGGCATTGAACTTTTTTTCCTTGAACCCATAAGATATTAAAGGCACCATAGGTCTTACTTTTTTTAAAATAAAAGATTCCCAAGAATTAGTTGTTTCTTTTCACCTTTAGTGGTATTTACTATTGCAAATCCCAATAGAGATTTTGATTGTGTTATACATTTACAAAATAATAGAAAACTATCAATAAAACTGAATCGAATTGGAAACTGAAAATACCTGTCATTAAATATGATTTATTTATCTATGGTTTACTAGTTAATTTCTTTGTGTTTACGGACCTGAAACAAAACACGCAACGATATTGTTGATACCTTTGCGGGCCTTTCTGATTCTTTATGCCCGAGGGCCTTTCGAATACTTCATAGCCCGCTCTAATACCAACACAACAAATACATTTTTATGAATTCGATTTATTAAAGTTAAGATATAATAAAATACAGTAAATAAATGGCACAATGCTCAAATAAGAAAAATAATTCGTTATAAACCTTATTTTGCTTAATTTATAGCAATTTTGGGATTGGGATGTTCCTGTGAATTTATAATTGCCATCAGTAACTCATATTACGTATCACCCCTTTTCAGAGAAATATGTACTTCTTGGGTAGCAGTATTACTAGTAGTAATAAAATGTATAAGACCCATCGGCTAACGTCATCGAAATATAAGTTTTTGATGTTTAGAAATATTCTAAATAACTTTTGGCAATAGAGGCAAAGAACCTGAAAGTATTCACAATGTTATTTTCCATATAACTCTCAAATACACCAAATCATTTTCTTATACTTTTTCACGATATTTTACTGGAAACCACTGTCCGTAGCCACGTTAGCTTCTGCGATAATTTCCGCTCGAACTTCACAATATTCTTTCATCTTGTACGAACAAATCAATCCAACAACGATTATCCAATACTGATTAGATTCACATTACAATACGTCTTTTCACTTTACACGCAAGAAATTTTAGAACGTTTCCAATTCATATTTGATTCAGCAACGAACTAGTAAACCATAACGTTTTGTGTGCACCACGAGCGTTACGAGATGTTTTTGCCCCTCAGGCGACTTCCAAACCCTCGGGGCAGCGGCCCTCGGCTTTGGAAGTCACCCTCGGAGCAAAAAGATCTACTTGACATCTTAGATACATAAATAACTATTATTTCACGTCAAAACAGCGAGAAAATATGACCTCTTTTAGCACTAGATTTACCAAAGTTATGTTTCACTGCTTAGAGCAGTGGCAGTCATAGTGGCGCACGAGTACGTACGCAAAAACTTTCGGACACGTTTTCACTTTCGATTCTTAATTGACAGTATACGTAAATACAGTCAAGTCTAAAAAATAAGTATAAAAATAGTCAGTGACACCAAATCTGGTGGGGTTTGGCTTGAGACGCCATTAAAGACTGTGGAAAATATAATTGTGACACAGAAATATCCTTTCACACTTTTTGATATCTCGCATCGTCTCTGAGTAAAGGTGCACTATTAATATGTGAAATAAGAACTTGCTCTGGAGGTATAAAAATGGTCATTTGAAGCAAATTTTATAGAAGTGTCGCGCGATTACATCTCAAATTTTGAAGCGATTTTATACGCCGAGTCCTTCAAATCTCAAAGAAACTTCTTTGGAGTCATAGGCGAAATGTTTTTTGAGATATAGGTAGCGGTTTGTTTGACACCGTTTTATAGTAGTGCGACCATTAGATTTTCGCAACTTTGAGAAACAATACTTCGTTCCCCAATATCACTAAACAAATGAAATTGGCCTGTACTCTCTTGTACATTTTTTTGCTCTTTTCATTTGAACTACTAATATTAATTTTCCACTTATTAATACACAATGGGTAAATTTCATCAAAATACAACCTCTACCTTTCTAGGTTCAGAACTGAATTTCCTTATTGACAGGCAGTGATGCATATATAAATATGTACCCACTTACACGCAAGCGAAAAAAGAGAACTACCTATGTTTGGTTGGGAACATGACGATGACAATACAAATTATTGAAAATGCAATTTCCGCGTGCCGTATATGAACCGCATTTCCGTATAGACAACTATCATTTTACTACAGTTTCATGTATTGATGAAAAGTTTCAATTACTTAAAATGCAAAGTGATGTGTTTTATCTTGTATTTGACTTCAACAAACTAGCAGAAATTAGTCACTCAAGACTTATTTTTAAAAAATGTATGGATTTATAATTTAAACTGATGGATGAAACTGACACAGTCCAAAAGGGATAGAACATGCAGATGAACTACATAATCACGAAATTTCTCAACAAAAAGAAAAAAAAATACCAATTGAAGTATTAGAACTCATGTATCAAAATAAAATAACTGGGCCATTCCCTAAACAATTCTTAATTGACTTTACAAATTTCATTAACTTTGCCACTTACAGTAGCCACCAGAGAAAGATCATTTTCAAAATAAAAATTAATAGTCTAAAAAACTTTCTATGATCTACCATATCACAAGAAATATTTACAGATCTGGCAATGATTTCAACTGAATATGAAATCTGCAACAATATTTATTTAGAGAGCATCATAAAAAAATGTGCAGGTTCGAAAAATGCCTTATATCTTATATAGATATTATTTATTTAATAAATCTACAATAAACTCTTCAGTAAATACTATTTCAAACAACTGAACTTTTCTGCTATTGAAAGTATGTAATAATGGTATTCCTTTTGAAAGTGGCAAAATGTACATGTACCAGGGTAGCAAACCAGAGCGTGACAGTCCTGCTTAGGATGTGGCGTCACCTGGACAGCCAAGTACAAGGGGGCACCTTTCCCCAAGCCCTTCCCCGATTTTTTCTCCCCATTTAAAAGAACTAAAAAAATAATGCAAATTTAATGCTGTAAGTTATTTTTGATGCTTGGAGAAAATAATTCTGACCGTGAATTGGGGAAGGAGGGAATATTTTGGTTTGAAATGAGGAGTCCCCATGGATCTGCCCCATGCCTCTGGATTTCTCTGGGTGCCTCTGCAAGTAGATACAGTCATTGATATATATTTCAGTGTTACAAGCACATTATTAGCTGCGCATTCAACAAAAGAGTCAATTTTACTTATAATATTGGTTTTGGAATATTCTATGTAATAGACAGCGGGCTGTTTCAAGCAGTTTGATAATTTGCACATACCTAAAATATTACAAGGACATACTTGAAATATAATTATTTTATGTAACCAGTGCAAATATGAGCAAATCTGTGTCACATTAGCAAGACATGGCCCTATAGTAAACACCAGTTTTAGCACTAGAGATTATCATTTTTATTCTGATCATCAGAATAAATTTTTATTATTATTATTATTATTATTATTATTATTATTATTATTATTATTATTATTATTATTATTGTTATAAACATCAATCCTTTTCTTAAAAAATTAAGCAAGTTTAGAGTACAAACGTTTATTGCAGGACATAGAGTACAATGTATTATCAGGCTATGATACAGTCTGAGATCTGATTTACATCCATATTTCAAAATATTGTGACTAAATTACATCAAGTCATAGATCACCTACTCATACTATACTACATTAATTTTAATATTTCATTATAGATATGTTAAAAATAGTCACCAATTAGTGTTTGTAATAAATTTGAACTGAGAAGCAATTAGCACCAGAAATCAAATAGCCACACAACGCTTTTGCAAAGCAGAAGCACCTGATCAATACACGTGGGTTTAAAACATGGATACAAAACACTCAACTATCATTCTCAAAATCTGTTGATCAAAGCTGACATTGTCTGAGATACACTAAAATTCTTTGTGTTGACCTAAAATATAAACAGTTACAGTGCTGTTGAGATACTAATTAAAATATCATTGCAGGAAAAAATTAAATACAAACTTTCTCATATATACATAATTATAATTTAAAAAAAACAAAAAAACATGCTCTTTCCCTTTTCTAATTAAGCACTTGCATTCTATGGCCCCACTTTAATTTGTATTATTTTTTTTTTAATTAGTATTTGTCAGTACAAATATACAAAATGGCGTAGGCAACACTGAAATCAAGTTATAAAATTATAAATTTAGTTTTAACATTCCCTGCTCTAAATCATCCCCTGCATTATTAAAATTGTTATTTAAAATTACTCTTAATACAGAATGCACATAGAAAACTACAAAGTTACTGAGATTGAGATGAAATGAATCATGATCTCTGAAGTTGGTAATATTCTTCATTATTTATTTTTTATATTTACCAAAATGTTGAATAAAACTATTTATAGCTGACTCTTGAGATGTTCCTTAAAATTCAGTTAATACACATGGTACAGCACATTCAGTTTTTCTTTTTTGGAATTCATGCATTTTTTGAAGAATTACTTTCAGAAAATACTTCAGATAATCATTGGAAATGTGATCATGTTGAATACACGTTGAATATACTATATACACAAGAATAACAAGAGCAATTAGCAAATAGTGGGAACTGATTAACAATAGCAATTTTCTTGTCCTCTTGCTTATTTTCCTTTTCTGAAGATATGCTCCCTCCGCTTGTTTTTCTTTCTTCTGCCATATATTGCTTCTCTGCAATATTTTCTCTCACATACATGACACAAACACATGCATACACATTCATGCACACAAGAGCAATAATATCACTAAACAAGAAAGCCACTACTTGCTGCTTCTTTTAAAAATATGTTACAAACAATCTGGAAGATCTTCAAGAATACGATGTCATGTAGTAGTATCTGTTCTGAATGTCCAATACGGCAAGTCATATTTTGAAAATTCAGTGAATTCAAGAACAAATTTTTAAGTGACAAGTTCTTAAACAATCAAATAAAAAATTAAAATAGTACTCTTTCATGAAATTATCTTATTTTCTTCCTTTCCTTTCCCCATGTGTTCCATAATAAATTCTTTCCAATTTTCATTACTTTTTGTTTCCATTCTCAAATATTTCTTGTTTCTTTGGCAGATTGACAATTATATTCAATTTAACATAAAGATAATTCATTTGGCTGGCTGGCTGGAACTCATAGTTGTTGGTTTTGCAATAATAAAATAACATGTTTTGTGTCATAAAGACTGCAACGTCACATAACAGCATAAAAAAATCACAACCATTAGTGCCAAGACGTTCTAGCAATAATAATGGTGATAAAAATTACAAAATTGAAGGCAAGGATACTCATAATAGGAGAACTGGACAAATCATTGGAAGAAATGATATATATATATTTTAAAAAATTATCTTCAAATTAAATTTTATCAACTGTATAAAAAATACTGAATTTTTAAACAGATGTATTGAAATTACTTAAATGTGAGGAAAGTCCTTCAATTTACGTAGTTAAAGAAAACTGGTTTTCTTAACACTATTTCTTGCACAATTAATACTTGTATTTTACGTGAAAGCAAAAATATCAGTAATTCATACCATTTCATATAAGAACTGCAATAAGTATTAATCCATAATGAGATTTTATTGTCAAACTTAGCGAGAAAAAGGAGTACTAGATATTAAAAAAAATATTAATCATCAGAATTATCTGACCAAGTCACAGACAGATGGACGGATTTCAAAAAATACATTCCGCTGTCAAGCACCCAGAAATTCACAAGTCACACATTCTCTAAGTTTGTTATTGAGAAAATAAACTTATATATTTATAAAAAGGAATATTCAACAACATTTACACAATAACTATAAGGGAAAATACTATCCTTATTACAACAATATTCATGATCAAAATTCAAAAGAACCATACTTGTTTATTAAGCATTTTAATTTTCATGATATAAAATGATATTCTTTATATCTTCCCATAGATTATTTATTCAGGGCTTTCCTATACTGAAGTACTGAAAAATTCATCCTGACTTTGTATATTAAAAAAAATGAATGAAATGTCTGTTATTGTATACAATAAGAAGCCAAGGTTTATATTTTAGTTTTGATAAAATGATTGTCATAACACAAGGAACAGTGTTAACTAAATACATTGGAATGAAATTTTAAGCACACATTATTCTGTAAATGCATACAAAGTCACTACTTCAATTCTTTGATCAAGAATAATAATATGAACAGACATGATCATTACTTATTAAGCATATACAATGCATTTATTTAAACAATGAGTACTATTATTACTTGGCATAAGAGTAGTTAATAAGCATAAGAGAAATTCTCTATGAATGCATGTCAAAAGAAAGGCAGACTTTGGAAAAATGGATTCCAAAAATGATTTGAATTTTAAGATATACAAATTAATCTATTTTTTCTGCACTACATTTGCATACTTGTAGCAGTAGTAAAACATACCATATTGTATCCAAATGAAATTGATAGATAAAAATCTTCTTTATTTATATGAAAAGGAAGACGTACATGAAAAGACCAGTGTTTACTTTTGTACCTTTCATGGCCAGATTGACTGGAAGTCTAATAAAACTTACTGAAAGGTTCAGGTAATTAGAATAGGTGAAAGGTAATACAAAAAATTCTTCAGTCTCACTTTCAAAAGCCACAAGGAATTTCAATAAATTCCATAAGAACCAAAATGTTAATGAAATAACTCGTTGTCAATGTTAATGGAGTGCACATTAGTCAGTTTATTCCTGATAAATAATTTTGAGATGAGATGAAAACATTGGCATTAGCCTAACATATTAAAATTAAATGAAGATAACAAATAAAAAGTTTTCAGAATGACATGGAAAAGTTTTATGCAGAGAATTTTGTACGTCATTTGATGGTTCTTCAGAAGATTTTTTTCCCCCAAATTAAATAAAATATACAAAAGAATATATAATTAAGTAAATTATTACTAAATACATTATGAAAGATCTTTATTTCTAATAATGAAAGAAACAAAACTGAAATGTCAAATATCAGCATTCTTCTCTTACTTACTGTATTATACACATTTGACCTAATAAATTTTCCATTCCATGAATAACTGTCAAGTTGACACACACATTTAGACAATGATCATCGGGCTTTTCTCTCTCATCACAAAACTGCGAGTGGAATGGTTATTCCTTATTTATTTTTAAATGCCAAATGTTTGTTATGGGAAATAAACTGAATATGTTCATTAAAGCATTTTTTTATGCTAAAAATCATTGAAACAATTATTATGCTATTTGCATTTAAGATCCTGAAAAACTTTTTTTCTAAATTTTGCTCCAGGGATCTGTAAATATTCAAAGAATTTCAAATGTAAAATTCTCGTCATTAAATTACACAACTAACTAGCACTACTTCACTTTTTGTTATAAGACAATTACGAGAAGACTCACATCAGTAATGTATCAGCTTCCAAATTTCACTAATAGGTCCACATGAATCTCACTTTCATTACAATACCTGCATAACATATAACATTGTTTGCAATATTTTCCTCTGAAATTTTATTCAATAGGATTGAGAAAGCTGGATTAGATGAAGAAATCTTAAGTTTAGGAAGCCAAAAAATATGCCTGTGCCTTTTACTTTATGTTGACTTTATTCCATTCCTTAAGTTTTTCCTGAATTATGTATAAATGAGAAAGTAAAAAGGAAATGAAAAGAAAAGTATCAGAACACACTAATCAGGATATATTTTATCAAATATATAAATGTTAAGTAGAAGATGTTCACACTACAAAACCTAGAGTGATATGAGATGTTTGCATCAAAAAAGGTAGATTAGTGTGAAATAATTAGTCTGAAATGTGTCACATAGAATGACAAGTGTGTTCTGATTTTTTTCTATTTCAGTTGTTTAATGCAAGACATACAACTAATATCAAGATCTTCAAATCTCAGTGTCTGAAAATATTTTTATGTTTGCAATTATCTCATATTTCTAATGCTAACTATCCAAATGTACATACAACACCCTACAAGCTGACAGTAACAAACTGTTTTATTGATAAAACAGAAGTCAATTTATTGGTCAGCTACTCCTCATTCAATAACTCTCTCTGAGGTCCAGTAAAATCTTCACTATTACAGATTAAAGTATGAATAACTTTAAGCCAACATCATGTAAGTTTTTGGGCATGATGTAATGTAAGTACACATTTTCAATTTAACTTTCTCTTGATCAATCAATCTACTTTTCTATCTGTCACATAACTGTTAATACTTTTACCACAACATGATAAATATATCTAAGTACACTTGAGTATTTACATAATCAAATCTACAGCCAGGGGGAGGAATACATAACTAAAACATCTTTCTCTACAATAATCTTTTCAATTACATCACCAGTTTCTGTACTTCATGATTTAAATGTTGATTACATTAATAGAAAATATTGCTTCTACAGCATTACATACAATTTTAAAACAAAATATTATTAGCTCTTCTTCTGAATTCCTCCCCTGAGAAACATTCTGGCTATATCTTTGCACATACTTACGAAAGAAATTAAATCTGCAATAGGCACTTGACTCAAAATATATTTCTGCAAGTAACAAACCTATATATCATTGTCTTAACAATCACAAAATTTTAATGTACATTTTCCTAAGAACAGCAAGAATTCAGGTGTGCTATTACAGTTTGCAATTGAGTCAGGAATGTGGGAATGCATGGGAAGGAAAAGGGACAAAATTAAATAAAGAAGGCTAATAGGAGAGCAAGGGCAAGGACTGAAGAAGAAAGGAAGATACCAGGTCTTCTAATAATATTACAAAATGAAAATCCTTCAGCACTGACTTGATGCTTGATTATTTTATAAACTTACTAACACTACCAACATTAGTGGCAATAAGTGAAAAAGATAAACAACAAGACTTTAAGACACCAGACAATTTAAAACATAAAAAAAATGCAAGACTCAGAATGCAATTACATATTTACAAATGATGCCAAGTTATTGTTTTCATGATCCACAAATGATAAAAGTTAAGCAATTTCATGCAAATAATTCTGAGAGAATACAAAAAGTAAAGGAGTTTTACGGAGAAGTAATTTTGTTAGTAAATTCAATAGCTATGTTATAGCAATAAATGTCAATAGTTTTCCACAATATTTTTAAGGCAAGTGAGGTTAAGTGTGTTTCAGTTTTTTACTGTAACAATTCAATTCTGATTTTTTCCAAAATCTCATACCCTTTGTCATCTACAAATGATAGCTTTTCAACAGTGTGTCAAGAAAGTGAAATGAAATGAAAGAAAATGAAGTTCTTACTGTAGAATATATACCTATAACATGATTTAAAAATAATGCACATCCTAGTTTTGTTCATAAAACTATTTTTTCTAAAACCTTACTTCAGCATATAAGGAGGCAATCAGTTATATTGTTTTACTTCTTACAGTGATATGTCTCATTATATCACTTTGTACATCTCATAAGGTGAACAGAGTTTATGTTGAAAGAAAATTTATGCACAAGAAACACAAAACTCCTGCGAAATAAAACCAAATATTTTTGAACACCAAATTCATTTACTTTTCAAGAAAAGTAAGATACTTTAGTTATTAATACCTATACCAATTAGAGACAAGTCTTTTTATTGAAAATTCCATTAACTAACATTTCAATCAGGCAAAGAACAATTTGTCACAAAATAACACTACTAAACTATTCGATATCACCTTAATTCATAAATGTAGGCACTTCCCAAACACATATTTGTAGATTTCATTACAAAGAAAGACATTTACAAAACTTTTTACACTGGCTTTCTTCTTAAATACCTGAAATACACTTTATAATAAAAACTAGAAGACCATCTACAAAAATGAAATCAGAACAAATTGATGAAGAAAGATTTTAATTTGGCGACAAGAAAAGTAGATATAGTATAAATACATTTAGGTTCAAAACACAATTTGAAAGAATAAAAGCATTCCATAGAAGCTACTGCTACTGCTATTTATGTATCTTGTTTAAAATAAGCTAAAAATTATGTAGGAAAAAGGAAAATAAGAGATGTGTTTGTATGACAACTCATTAAATGACATCTCCAACTACAAGATTTTCAAAAATACAATAGACTTATGCGAGGCACAGCACGTTTTCAATCTAAGGTGTACTATCTTCCGATTATTGTTGGATGAAGTGCGGTTAAATTGTTTGTATCTAGTTCTACCACTGGCTTTAATTGCTGAGTTCAGCAACCTTATAAATTGAATTGTGGTGGCAGTGTCCTTACACACATCAGGATTAACAAAATAGAGTACTAATCAAAAGTTGAATCATTTGCATCTAAAGTGTAGATGTTAGTCACCAAGTTATGCAAAATTGCAATACTAAATTACAAAAAATCTATCATGAAGTTATTATTAACATAAATTATTTTCAAAATTTCATGTGTAAACACAAAATTAAAAATAAATTCATAACAAATAAATAATCCTTATCTTTCCTCCTGTAGTTGCTTGCAATAATGTAACTTGTTCATTACATGCACAATACTCATCACAGAGTAATATGATTTTCCAATAATGATTGATGAAAAAGTTAAAAACCTCCAATTAGTAATTTATAGCTTAGGCATTTCAGTCCAGATAGTTATTAAGTAACCTTGCTTTACTAAGATCTGACATCTTTAAATTGAGCAATTCATGTTTTTTGGGATCTTAATTGATGAATTTTATGTCGATAAATATCATTTTTATTTAATTTACATTCAAACTTTCTTATATCAATATGCTATTCTAAATTATCCCAATGATACAAATTCAAATTACTGGTATTAGCCATAGTTTTCTTCACAAGTATTTATTTTCTGGCTATTTTGTATATTAAAATGAATAAAGTAATAGTGCAGCCATTTTTCATTTGTAGATGCAAGGGATGAGAGGAAAAGTAAATAAAATAAGAAAATAAAGTTGACATCATTTATAAATGTAAATTATAAGCAACATAATTAGCATCTCCATGACACTAATGTAAAACTCCAATTATGTATGAAATATTGAAATACAAAGCAAAAGCTTAATTCTAGGGCTACTACTACATGCACAAATGTAGACTAAAAATGTGCAGAATTTAAAACAGTTCAGTACTGAGCCCCTATTTAATGGTAGCGGCACACATCAATTTTATTTTATGTTTATACTTTATTTATTATTGAAACTTATACTCTGTCATAAATTAATAAGGAACAATAACAAAAATTAGTGAATGTTCACGAGGAAAAGAATAAAATAATTTGAACTAAAATTTTAAAAATATTATATTTTTTAAATTTTGCATTTCCTGTTTTAATACAATATTGTACTTTAAGTGTATTTGTTCACTTAAATTCCCTTAAAATAATCTTGTTAATTTACTTTTACATTAATTGCGCTTGCATTTCTTTCAAATATTTATTATTTTCAAAATGTAGAAAGTAATTATTATGCATCATTGAAGCACATGAATAGCTAGTAAAATGATTGAATTTCCTTTTCATTACACAAATTGATTTTATACATAATGCTTGTTTGGTTAGTTTTAATTCTTTGTTTTAAAAAAAGTTAACATCAAGAAAACAAAACAACTCACTTTCTTCACATTAAACCACAAAATTCATCTAGATCAATTCAATAATAATAAAGGAATAAAGAAAATTCTTAGTTATGTTCAAAACATGTGCTTAACAAATTACACAGAAACAGGTCAACAGGCACTCTAGATACAAAACAGTAATTTGTGCAATGAATATCTACAATAAATTATTACTAGTGAAATTCCCAAACAACACATCAAACACTGAAGTAAAACAGAGAAGAATATTGAAACAAATTCTATATTTACTTTTTTTCCTTTTTTCATCTACCATTTTAGGAGCTCATTTAAAAGAAATTCATTTGAACAGTACTAAACAGCAGTGCTGACTAATGCTTATGAAAATAATACGCATCTTATCATTACAAAAAAAAAAATAATCCAGTGTCATCCCTAAACAAAACTGTGAGGCATTGAACACAACACTTGACTTCAACAAACTAAGGCTACAAGTTACCAGAAGTGTGATTTTTTCTACGTTGCAGGTCCATTGCAACATCATCTACAGAGATAAGTTTCTCAATAGGAATACAGGATAATTCACCTCCCACATTGGTAGGCGGCATCCATTTCTCTTTCTCTTTTTCCTTAGCCTCTTTAGCTTTAGCCTCTTTCTCTTCCTTTGCTTCAGCCTTGGCTTCTGCTTTTGCTTTATTGGAAGCTTCCTTAGCAGATGCTTCTCTTGCTCTACGTTCCTTTAACTTTAAGGAGAAGATTGCAACACTTCTTGCTCTTTTCATCAGACTTTGCTTCACTCTTGTCTTCCGAGCAGCTGCAGATTCTTCAACTTTACTTGCTGCCGCTGCAGCCTCCTCCCCCTCTTGACTAGATACTGTTCTGCTGCTATCTGAAAGAGATGTTTCTTTCTCTGGCGAGAACCTGAACTTTGATCGTACTTTAGGGTCAGCCCAGGGCGGAGCTGACCTTAGAAGATCCGAGTCTGATGACGCAGCTAATTCTTTGGGTGTAACAATACACTCTGTGCTGCGCCGGGTTGCTAAATTTTCCCCAGAGGCACTTCCCATTTCTGGTTCACTCCCTTTTCTGCCTCCTTCAATACCCAATCTACGAACCCAATCAACTCCATGCGGACCAATCGTTAGGTGATAACCCAAGCCTTCACCTTCTGGTCCCAACCACTCACGTGATTTCTTTGGAGGGCTTTTCGGGAGTGAAGAAAGCAAGTTTTCAGCAGCCTGTGATAAAACAGATTCATCTTTATGTGGTTTGGGCGGTTTGGGCTCTTTTGTCTCCATGGATGCAACAGGATTAATATCCACTATTGGAGTAGGAGCATCATCTAATGCATCATTTGATGTTTCTTCAGACTCAGCCAAACCTTCAGCGGCAGGTGAAACAACAAATCTGAAGGAGAAAAAGAGCTGATTATTTTCTTGAAATGTACATTAAAAAATTCATAATTAAAACAGTAGATGCAACAGTACCGTCCTATGACTATTCCAGAAGGTGGTGGTGTATTATCTGGAGCAGGTGTAGAAGCAGTAGTAGATGATAATCTTCGACAAGCTTCTCGCCGAGCAAACTCAACTTTTGCCATTTCTGTGGCTACCCATTCAGGAACATCCGGAATAGCACATGAGATGACAAATCTCAATATTAACATTATATGCTGAAATATCAAAATAAAATGTAATTTAAAAACCATTAACATACTTTTTTTTTTTTTTTTTAATATTAGTGAACTCACCTCTAATGCAACAATAAGAAGAATGGTTTGAGTAGTAGACATTTCAGGAAACATTCTGTGTACCTGACCAGATAGGCCAATTAAAGCACAATTTACTAGTACTGCAATAAGGCCCATAACTTCCATTGCATTCTGTCAAAATATATTAATTTCGTGAATTTTTATTTAATCTATATTTCAAAAAAGAAAAGGAAGAAAAAGAAAGAAAAAGCTATTTTCATCATACCTGCCAAGTGCCTATATTTGACACTCTTTGACCAAAAGGTCTTTGAAATATGAAACACAGTTTGAAGGCATCACTTCGTATTTCAATTAGATTATTTACAAGGGCACAAAATGCAGCCATAGGAAATGCAGATGAAAACAGAACCACATAACCTAACTGAATGAACATTTCCAAATGATCAGCAAAAGTTCCATCATACTGCAAAAGATAATAATCAGCATTTTACACAAAATATCCAACCAGTCATTGTACAAAAAACTATGTAAAATCACTTTCTTATTTAGAAATTAACCCCTTTACCTTAAAAAGTGAACTTTCCAGCTCTGCCTGACTAATGTTTCTCTTGCCTCCTTTGCCAGGTGTCCCACATTCTGGTTCCTCCTGTTTTTCTTTCACTATTGATTTTTTGGCTTCTGTTGGACTAAGAGCTCCAAACAAGTCAAAGCTTAATTTAGCAAGTCGCAATTGTTCCAACAGATATGGAAGGGCAGACTCTTTCAAGTTTCCTATAACTTGTCGAGCAATCAAAAGAGCAGCTAATTGCTGAAAGTACAGAAAAGAGACTCAATAGAATAAAAAGGAATACAAAGTTAATTTTTTATCTGCCATCTAAAACACATGTACACATTAAAAAGATTCAATATTTATACACATGATGTCCAGGGACGAAACAACAAAAGTTTAAAAATAAGCTTGTAAAGACACTTTGTTGAAGTTAGAAAAAATACTTTCTATGCAAAAATATGCATTTCAGAAGCATATAAACACTCCGGAAACATGTAAATTGTTTATTATGTACAAAGAAATTAAGATATTTGTTCACAAAGAAAAACAACAAAATAAGGAAAAAGCAATTGAATTGTGTAAATTGGGTGAATTTTATTTCTGTGTTAATTTTTCTTTGTGAACAAATATATTCATTTTTTGTTGTTGTAAATAATAAACAATTTACATGTTTCTTGAGTGTTTATATGCTTCTGTAATGCAAATTTTTGCCTAGAAATTATTTTTTCAAACCAATTTTTGAATGCTTATTGGGGCTCAGCCATTCAAAATATTGAAGGAGTTTTTTAGACAAAATATGTCTAAAATTGTCTTAAAAGCTTATTTTCAAAGATTTGTAGTTTCCACCCTGAACATCCTGTAACTGAGAGGTGGAAATGTTGAAAACACTTTGCCACAATAGTATTGAAAAGTCAATCTGAAGACTTTCTTAATCACTTTCTTTGATTCTTGGAAAATTAATCAACACCGGTACTTAGAAGGGAAAAATTTAAGTAGACCCATGAAGGAAATTAAATGATCATGCTCCTATATTAATTTGCTCAACAAAGTCAATACAGTATCACTACAAGACGCCAGATGCGCAATTAGTATTATTACATTTAGGTTAGGTTTTTTAAAAATTAATTATAAAATTATACAAATAAAATATAAAATTCATACGTACTTTTAATCAATATTCTTGATTTAATATACTTATTATCACTCAACACTTCATCCTGAAGAAATGGTGAAGAAGATATAAATTAACAAGACCAGAAGTTGGATAAGCAACTCAACATTGGGTTTATGGGGTGAAGTACATTATAGAGTATTAAATAATTCTAAAATCAGTGGAAAAGGTTTTAATATTTTATAATGTGCTAGATATAAAAAAGTCAATGCTGAGTTGGGAATCTAATTTGTGGTTTCCTCAATAATTAAGGAAACCATTACTTGTCACCATTTCTCCAAGATCATGTATTGACTGTCAATAATTATATTGAACCAAGAATATTGATTAACCATAATTAGTCTAATTATGACACAAAAATACATACCTCTTTCAGTTTTTCTTGATCTTGCAAGTAAAAGGCAATATAGAATAGGGAGAGAAATGAATTCACAAACTGGAACTGAAACAAAAAAGGCCATTTTATTTACAAGTCGTTCTAACACAATAAGAACTGAAAAATTAGTGTAAAAGATAAAGAGATTTTCCTTTTAGTAAAAATTTATAATTCTGGAGCAATTCAGAAAAAAAATATACAAAAACAGCCATTTTAAAGGAAAAATGAAGAATATTGCAAGAATTCTCAAACAGGATGTGCATTGATTCTTGCTATCTCAAGCAACTGTCACAGGGGCATTATTATAAATATACCATAAATTGATATTCTTTTATCCATACTAGTTCTTGGTCAAATAGGAATTCCCTTGTGACATAATACACCAAATAATATAACAATAATTGTTTCAAAATAAAAATTATTTATCTGCTGGGGATCTCAATCAGTCCTTTATTGAAAAACTGTAATGGCTTTTACGGGGTATCATACCAGTAATATGATACCCCTTGACCTCCCTTGTGTATCACACTGCAAACAAACCATGCCAATATCAAACATTTCTTTGTATTTGCATCATATTGAAAAACAAAAATTGAACGGATGAAAAACAAATGATATACGTGGCATTTAATAAATTCTGAGAAAATGTTTATTTAATTCAATATCACTGTAAAGTGGTGGTGCTTTTGGTCATCATTAAAGCCACAGCATTTCAATTATTCTTTAAAACCACAAAATTACATTGGCACTGAAATATAACCTAATATAAACATGTGTTTCTCAGAATTTATGAAATGACGTTTATACTGTAATGGTTATGGTCACCCACTCAATCGTCAACAATAAATTTATTCACAGAAATAGAGAACTACACATATAAAATAAGTAGTGAATTTTTTACAAATTACTTCCTGTACTTTAAATGTAACTGAAAATGTACACCTTTAATGCTGGCAGTATGCAAACAACCAACAATATACCACGAGCTGCTTCTTTACACAATCAGTGAGGAATAATAAAGGTTTAATAGAGGAATTCAAATTATTTATAACAAAATGGAAGTGGGAAAACCCAACAACAACCCTCACAGATGTTATGTGTGAGCCATGTGTAATGCATATTGCCACTGAACAATTAGTAATATATAAATCAGAACCACACTATGCCTGACATTTGCACAAGAAGGAATTCATGTATCTTCCGAGTTAAAGTGGAGTGACCATAATGCAGCCATAACTGAGTGGTTCAATATATTCCGTACCTGAAGCAGCCCCTTTTGGCATCTAAAACCCTTTGTAAGTATTGAGGTATTGTATCAAGCTTAAATGGTGTCTTGCGATACAGCAAGCCAGGCCCTTCTCTTGCTTCCAAAGTTGCTTGCTTTTTGAAGGCCAATCATGCCACTACACCCAGCACTTAAGCATTTCTCAGACATTTCCAATGCTTATTTGTGGATCAGGCTCTGTAGTATATCTCTTGATAATTAGCTGCCCAAGGCAATAATGGGGCATTGTTTGCATTCGGTAATACACATAGTCATAGCAGTGAGAGGCTTGGTATTATCCTGTTATAAAATGGGGTTCCTGAAATTCCTTGCAAGTATGTAAGGGCAACTGGATCCAGAATATTCTTGACCTGTGTGGCATTCATTGCAGCAGGCAACTTATAGACGCAGGCAACATATAGAAAGGCATCCCACGCCAACAAGTTGAGGCACTGGATTAATTGTGATCATGAATGTGATTGAAATCTACCAGTGATCTCCCTTGTGGTTTCCCTTGTGGATCTCCCATGTCGTTTGCAAATGAAGCTACTGGCATCATTTCAATTCACCATCTTGTGAACTCATCATATCACTACTGTAGACTAGCAGACATCAGGCCACAGCAGTCTGAGAAGAAGACAACCTGTATGCAGTCCAAACTGCAGTTAAGAGTGAGATACTTAATAGCCGATAAGAGAGTACTGAGTGTTAATGCATGTCAGTACTGAAGTGTTGACCAAAGCTGTACTTCTAAGATGATCTCATAACCTGATCTACTTAAAGCAATGAAATCCTTCATTGCAAGTCTTGGACCTTTCTTCATATCTTTACTATCAAATTCAGACTAACATTGACGTGTGTCCAACATTTTTAGCAATGCCCAAAGTTACACCGCTGACAAAGTCTTCAACATGATTGAACTGCTGCCTCATTCAAACATGAGGTAAATCATGTTTGAATGAGGGGGGAACATCAAAAGTCTTCTTGCAGCATGGACCTTTTCATAGACAGACAACTGGTACCATTCCAAGATGCAGTGATATCTGCATCTTGTTGTCCTTTATTTTGTATGTACATTAAAACTGTAACCATTCTCTCCTGGCCCTCTGGAGGGAAGATTATGCATGAAGCACTTCCCCATGTTCAACATTAGGCAATATTAAAATTCTTTTTGTTCTTAAAAAAAAAGTTAACAGTACCAATCTGGGCCCAAAGTATGGGAAACCAGGCTCTGCTCGACACAAGCCAGGATAAAGAGGCGAGTAATAGAGGAGTAACACCTCTTTAAAAATCCTTGGCCCAGCTGGCACGGCTGGTAGTATCTTGTGAGGGCCCCTTGCCAAGGTAACGGTAAAGTGCCCTTCAGTAGCTATGGCAGAAGAGAAGATTCCTGGAACGGCATAACGGGCGGAAGAGGTACCTTTCCCATTTGAGGTCAACAAACGAGGATGCATATCTAGAAGCATTAAGATGGCAGCCTGATCATTAGGCTCATCACCTGTGACAGGGAAGTTACTGACACTCCTCAACAAGCCAAGCTGATTAAACACAATGTTGATGACCATAGCAAGAAAAAGGACAAACAACTGCGAATACACAATAGACTTAAGATCGGAGTATGGAATGCCGGATGAATAAAAAATAAAGAAAAGGAATAAGAAAATGAACTTAATATAAAACAAATTAATACAGCCGTAATATCAGAAACAAAAATTAAGTGAAAAGGAACAAAATATCTAGAATATTATGTTATGATTTACAATGGGAAACCTCAAAATGAAAGAGCCAGTAGTGGAATAGGTATTTTAATTGATAAAAAGTGGAAAACCAAAATACATAAGTGACTGGATCTTGATAACAAGATTTCGAATAGAAAGAGGCTACTTAACCATAATCAGAGTTTATAAGTTCTAGAAGAAGGTAAACAGACAATGCGGAAGTCTTTTATGAAATACCACAAAAACAAGGTACAGAAGTATAAAGATCACTTAGTTACAGCAGGGGATTTGAATGCTAGGGTATGTAAACAACCAATTCCAGACATTGTAGGATGTTATGGGGAAGAATGCATCACCAGAAATGGAGAAGAATTGCAAGAATTTGCCACCTACAACAATCTTAAAATTACCAACATGTTCTTTAGAAAAAAGACATACATAAGTACACTTGGAGTGCAAGAGGTAGCAGATCAATTATTGACTATGTTATAGTGAACATAAAATTGCGTCCCAAATATCTGATACCAGAGTCTTCTGTGGGAGTGATGTACATTCAGATCACTTTGTAGTAATATTAACAATATATGGAGGGTTAACAACTTGGAGGAAACAACTAATAAATAAAACATCGTCCAAAAAGGAATAAATATTTAAAATCCACTTATTAAACGCAGACAGAATAAAGAATTTATACCATGAACAATTATAATATATACAAGTCAAATCCTGACACAAGTTGATGTAGAAGAAGAATGGGATAATGAAAAAGTATAATAAAGAATGCATCTAATGATGTCTTATGTTCAAAGTATAAAAGTAAAAGAAGAAAAGGATTGAAGGACACTTGAAATTGCCCTAGGCATTAATGATAAGAAACAACCTTACAATAAAATGTTACAAAATAAAACAAAAGAAACCGGAGGGGCATATAAAAAATTAGGAACTACACCAAGACGTTTATCAGAAAAGCCTACCAAGAATCATGGGAATGATTTGTTAGTAATATTGAGAACGATATGCACGGACAACCTATCTTAGCTTACAAAGTAGTGAGGCATCTAAATAGTGACACAAAGGATTCTGCAGAGCTAAACAATCAAAGAGATACAGTAGCTGGATTACTATAAAAGTTTATGGTATGGTATGCCTTGATTGTGGACAAGACGGAAAGAACTATGAAATATATAATGTAGATCCACTGACAATGAACAAATGAGTAGACACTCTAAAAACGCTAAAAAATCAAAAAGCGCCAGTTTTTGTTGGGATTAATCTGGAGTTAATTAAATATGCTGATACTTCATTAAAAATTAGATTTCTTAATTTACTGAATACCTATTGGGAGACTTGTACAATTCCAGAAGAATGGACAAAAGCAAAGGCAATATCACTAATCAAACAAAGGAAATAGAAGTAAACCAGAGAATAATAGAGGAATTACCTTGCTGAAGAGGTCATACAAGATATACACTAAAATTATTAACAGCAGGTTAACAACTTTTCTAGACAATATATTGTTAGAGGAGCAACGTGGATTTAGACAAGGAAGATCATGTGTCGATGATATATTCTCCATTAACTTGCTTATACAGAAGAGGGTAGCATTTAATCAGAAAACTCATAATGCTTTCATAGATTATGAGATAGCATTTGACATGGTGCAATGACTATGAATGATGATATGAAAGATAATGAATAAAAGAGGCATTCCATTACATTTAATTGAAGTAATCGAATCCTTGTACAACAGAACTATAAATGTATTGGATGTAAATGGAAAATTATCTGAGGGATTAAAAATTAATTGAGGTGTTAGACAAGGTTGTAGACTATCACCAAGTTCACTTAATATTTCTATAGACTATGTTCTGAGAGAATAGAAACAGTGTATTACAAATGCCATAGAGAAACCATTCTAAATACTTTATTATTTGCAGACGATCAGATAATTATCCAAGAAAGTTAGGATCAGTTACAGAGAGCTCTCTATAAAGTAAATAACGTATATGAACAATATCACTTGAGAGAAGTCGGAACAGGAGACTCTCCTAATCCCTGAAGAGATGATGAAAGCAAAAGTTGGA